AAATCAAAGTTAATATGTTCACTGGTGGTGTGTTCTTAAAAGTTGCCTTCCTCATTTCAAGGTCATTCATTTAAAGGAATTCATATGGCTTCTGGTAAAAACAAGCTTAGTAGCCTAAGGAATTAGAAGTACTGATGAAAATACCACCCTCATACTCCCCTTCTGCCTTTGATCAACTCTTTGGGAAACAGGAGGAAGAAATGAACACTCTCAGTTGTCAGAGGGCAGACGTGGCTGCACTATATCTGAACTATGCTTTGTCTCTCAGGAAAGTATGCAGAAAATAAAGTCATCCCAAAACGATGCTTCTTTTTCAGAAAGTCAAGAAGAATCTGCCCCAGAAGTCATTGTGCTTAAATCAAAGGAACCCAAAAAATATGACAACAAACTGAACATGGCTTGTTTGGCGAGGAATTTCTACCCTAAGAACATCAGCCTGGATGTGCCCAAGGGTGACACTGTATATGATCTGAAGGCACCTCTTGTCACATCTGAGGGGATGTATAGCACCATCAAGGTGGTGGGAGTGGAACCAGACGCCGAGGTGACCTGCAAGGCTATGCACAAGGGGAACAAGGATACACCCAACACAATCCTGCCAGGTACGGTGTTACGGTCTGAACACAATGTGACTCTGGGAGATGTGTCTTCCAAGATTTTTTCTTGCCCTTTGAGAACTTTGCAGGAACAAGTGCAGTCAGAAAGATATTTAGGTACTTGGTTAAGTGAAGATGAGATAGTCAAAAGCACCTAGCATGCATTACCTTAATTCAACTATTTAAGCACCTGGAGTTTGCTTCCCAAAAAAGAAACAAACAAAATAGAAAAGGACATGTGATTTTTTTTTCCCCCAAATATTTTGATTATTTTTGATCTCTTTTTAAATTGTTCTTTTCCTATGGTAAAGTTCATTTCAGAAGGGAGAGAAAATAAAACTCAACAATCCTCTGGGGTGGCTGTTTTGGGGGTGGGGGGGTGTTCTGGTTTCTTTTGGGGGAGAGGTTTGGTTGGTTGGTTGGTTGGGGTTTTTTTCCTGCAATCACGCATACAAAGCTGATTTTTCTCTTCAAGTTAATCTCAGAACTAATGACCTGCTATCTGATTCTCCAATAATGCTTATCTGCTGCTGGGAAAAAAAACCCTACAGGTATGTTTTGTGTAATTTTTGTTTTATATAGTTTGGGTACAATTTATAGTGTCTCTCAATCATTCAACAGAAAAGAAAGCTGAAGAATTTGAGACAGCTAATGCTTGCGACATTACAGATGCATCTACAAAAGGTTAGTTGCCTAAAGGAATGATGGAGTATGGTTACTTTATTGGGGATTCAGTATTTTTTTGGGTGAGGGGGATAATATCAAGACCACACTCTCTTCCCTCCTCTTTTTTTAAAGCAGATGTCAAAATGGAGAAATCAAATATGCTGTTCATGGCTGTTTTGGGTTTGAGAGTCCTGCTGGCAAAAAGCATCGCCTTCAATACAATCATGAGTATCAAGCTGTTTCTCTTCTGAGGTAGGAAAACCATAATTCAAGTCCCTGGGAACAAAGGAGGCAAGTGCAGTTGGGTTTGCATCCTTCTGCAACCCCACAAGGAGTGACATCAGTTCAGCTGTTCCTGTTTCCACTGGGTTACGGTTAATGTAACCCTCAAATTGCACCTCTTCCCCAAATTGCCTTTGCATCAGGCTAGTCATTGGTTTCTCTTTCAGGTACTGGGTAAGTAAGCCAGAAACAGGCTGAAGAAGAGCAAGAAAGAACACACAGCAGGATAATTTATACACCACGGGTCAGTTTTGCTACCAGAAACATCTACAGAATCAACAAACCCTCCAGTTCCTGTAGAACTAGGAGTCTTTTTATTTTATCAAGTTGCTCTTCAGTTAACACCATCTGGAAGCCGCCTTAGACAGCTAATACTGCTGAACTCTTGTCTAGCTTAGTTTCTTTAACTGTTAAAAAAATTCTTGTTATTTCTTATTTTCATAACAATTTTCCCTCATCCCTCTGCTAAGCAGAAATAGTTTGCTCTCCTATTCTTTTATCCACTGCATTGAAGCATCCAAATTGCTCAGATAGTTTCAAAAACTTAAAATTGATCTTTATACTTATTATGCTTTAAAAACACCATCTCTGGTCATATTACATTATTGTCTACAGAAGTAATGCTTTTCTGCTTAAGGATCCCAGGCACAGAGGGAGCATTGTGTAGTTTTAATTTTTAGAAGCTTTTATAAATGACAGTTTTCTAGTGCAGATAACTAGGTCTGGATCTGCAGGAATTCACTTCAGACAGGCATACAGTAGTATTTTCTTTCCTATCTCTTCTTTAGGACATCTTTCTCTTTTGTAAAGTACATGGTACCCGCACTTTAGATTTCCTTAATATACACCAAATAAAGTCTTACTATACTTGGTTTGTACTGTGCCCTTTATTCTGAAAGTTGGGTGGAAAATTGTTGAAATTCCACTGTCCTATCCAGTGGCCACTGAGAACTAGAGCAAAGCACCTATTACAACCTAGATTTCCTTTTTATGAAATTTGTCTTTCTTGGGCTTTTTATAAGGAAAGAGAGATAATCTTTGGCACATTTAAGAGACTTCAGGAGGACTATGAATTCTGCCCTTATTGGGTTTAAGGGAGTTTTAACTATTCATGGCCCATTCAAATTACTCAGGCTCAAAATTGTGGATCATAACAAGAAGAGAGGTGGTCTAAAGGGAAAACAGTTAAGACCAGGGGCAATTTGAACATTAATGTACAGACCTCAGAAGGTGAGAGAACAGGCTGCTGATTTTCCATTCACCAATACTATGAAGGGGCCAACAGGAAACACTCTGGGCTTCCTTGATAGATAGCCTAGCCTTTTGCTTTGCAGTCAAGAAAGCCCAACACTGACTTTTGTCTCAAGCTGCAAGCTGCCTGTTTGAAGCAGGATACTGTGGTTAAAACACATGACTAAATCACACTATGCAAGAAAAATTCCCCTTGTTTTTAAAAATATGTTAACCACTTCCTGGGGGGCAGGGCCCACAGAATTTTTCAGATGTTGACTCAGCTACTGCTGGTCCCAAAACGACCCCCAGAAGAGTGCATGGCAAAGTCTATTTAACTAACCTTGACAAATTTCGTTGTCCACACCTCCATTCCTGTCCAGAAATGTGACATTTCTATGGTGAAACCACTGTCTCTTGGTCCTGCAGCTCTGTGGTCAGGTCCCAGGAACACATACTAAGTGGTATGAAAACCATGGTGGTTTTATGTTTGTGTCCCAGGCATCCCAAGGGCCAGATGGAAATGTGGAGCCAGCGCCACCATCAATGTCCCTTGAAACAGCCTCCTTCCTGTCCCAGATGAGCAAGCCATACTCCACTTGTGCTGTCTTAGTGCAGACTCAGCCACACAACCCAACCGGGCTAGGCTGCTCTCACAGCACCCAACCTCTACTGCATTGCTTCCTTTCCACTCTGGCTGCTGACTGAGTTCATTTCCCTCCAGGTAATGCCCAGAACTCTGGTCCCCTTTTGTCCCCAAGCAAGTTGCTGTCCCCAGCAGCTCTTCAACATCCTCTTGCATGTGGGGTAGCACCAGCCTGAGCTGGTCTATGTGACACAGAGGTGTGTGACAGAAGCAGAGAGCTGACCTGCAGCATTCCCACGTTGTCACTAGAGCATCTGGAACTCCGCAACAGAGTCTTTTCATGGTGCAGATGTTACGTACCTCATCCCATAGGCAGCTTCTCCTCACGACTCTTTCTCAGAAGGGCAAACACGGATCCTTTTTTCTTCTGTGGGGCAGGTGTGCACTCAGAGGGTTGTGGGCTGAACGATGCAGCATGTGTCTGCACCTGGGATATGATCATTCACTAAGCATTTCTGTTTTGACCCATTCATCTCCCCTTCCAAAGCATATTCCCAGGCACGGAGGAGTGAATACTTTCAGACTCGTCCCTCACAGACAACATGTTTGCCTTATCCAGCTCCAGGTGCAGCTGGACCCCTGCCCAACCCCTCTGAGTTGTTTGGCCCTGCAGGTGAGGGGTAGGTGGAGCCCAGTGGGGAAGGAAGGAGGGCAGATGTTGCCTGTCAAAAGGGAAACTGCTTGGGAAGGAATCAGAGAATTTCTGCAGCTCCCTGACCCCGTTGCTGTTCTGGAACAGACCCTTGGATCCCCATCTCCTGCTGGACCTGTTGTGTAGCACTATACAGTGAGCACTTCAAGGCCAGGCGCTTCAGGGCTTTGCCCACTGCCCTGTAGTGTGCTGACCAGGGGCATTCTGATGGTTGCAGAAACCCTGGGCTTATGTCTGGCACTACTCCATGCTTGTGCCTCGAGGGTGTGAGCTGGGCAAGGGGACATGGCTCTTTCCTGGCTCCCCAAGGCATAGCAGGCTTGGGGCAGGCACTAGCAGAGTGGGATGGAACATGGGTCATCCTGGCCCCAGAGCCCAGCCCCAGTTCTATCATCAGGAAGAGAGGAGCACCCCTTAGTCGTTGGGGCCAGGGTGTGCTGGGGGTCCTGGGATCAGACTGCAGAGCTGGGCTCTGCCTGCACTGCTTGCTGTCTGAGAGTCTGCCTAACCCCTAGTCCCACCAGCAATAAGAGAGGCTGCTGACAGTTCTGGCTTCACAATAAAAAGCATCTTCCCAAGTTGTCAAAAGAGCTTCTCCAGTATGGGAATAAATAAGGCATTACTGGAATGGAAATGTTAAAGGGCAAGAGATATTAATCATATTGGTCTGTAATATGGGAAACTGGTGTTTAGTTTG